CTATATGCAAACTGATGTTTATCAAATGTATACGGAAGGCAGGAAATGATGTGTCTGCAGACCAATTTTTCAAAGCACTTCATGATGATAGGTGTGAGTGCCACTGGTCTGTAGTCGCTGGGGTTGTTAATAGGGAATTTCTTTGGCAGCGGAACAATGATGGAAGCCTTCAGACAGGATGGAATAGTGGACTGGGATAAAGACCAATTAAAAATCTTAGTGAAAACCCCAGCCAACTGATCAGCACAGTCTTTAAGCACCCGGCCAGAGATGCCATCAGGTCCGGCAGCCTTTCTAGGGCCCACAGCCCTCAAAATACTCCTCCCCTTGTGCTCCTCCACGGTGAGGCAGGGGCTATATTGGACCAATGGCTGTACTCTAGCTGCCTCTGGTGTTTCTAGAGTGTTGAAGAAATTTTTGAGATGGGAGAAAGAAAGTTTGAATGGAGAATCAACCCTACGACAACAACTTGATGAATTAAAGATTAAGATTGTTAGAGGCAAAAGGAATATAAAGCCAATTTATTTGATCAGGGTTAAAATAAGAACTATCTTTCTAAAATTCTGGAAACCCTTTATGGACTTTGCTGATACCTGGACAGGAATGACAGTGATTTTTGGATTTGTGATTGGATAAAGGGGGAGAGGGTTATGGGAGGAAGTGAATTATGTATCTAACCACATAGGGGGTGGGAAAATACTAATTTGCTTCTACTTGTTGCAAGGAAGATTGGAAGTCGCTTCTTTAAATATTCTTTTTTCTATCCTTTTTTTCTCTGTTCTTATTTCTTTGCCCCTTGTATTTCCTTTGTTTTCTATTTTTCTCTTTATTTCTGACTAATCTTGAATATTGTAAAATTTTTCAATAAAACGTTTTTTTAAAAAAGAAAGATAAGCAAATTAAGGGAGGTCATGGAGAGATTCCTAGTTCAGTTATGAAATAGTAGATTGCATTTTGAATGGTCTAGTGCAGTGTTGTCCAAACTTGGCCGCTTTAAGATGAGTGGACTTCAACT